GACGACGCGGTGCGGGTCAACGAGGACCTGAAGGAGAACATCGCCATCGTGGAGCGGAGGAACAACCTCCTGCAGGCGGAGCTGGAGGAGCTGCGGGCGGTGGTGGAGCAGACCGAGAGGGCCCGCAAGTTGGCCGAGCAGGAACTGATCGAGGCCAGCGAGAGGGTCCAGCTCCTCCACTCGCAGGTGAGACCTCAACCTACCTCCAAGGAGAGAGCGGTCGCCTCCGCCACGTGACGCTCGGACCCTGGAGATGCCGTGGGCGGGGGCTTCTCCCGGGCCGAGGCACCGAGATCTCCAGCTGGAGCTCCTGGACGCCTGCAGAGATGGGCGGGGGCTGCCCTGGTGGAGACTCCTGCCTCGCATCCCCCGGAACGTCCCGTTGGAGAAGAGCGCGGCCTTGGGGGCCTTCCAAACCCCCCACGGGCCAGGGCCGTCTCCTGTCCGCCAAGCCCCTGAGATACCTGCGGGACCAAAGCCTCCTGCCAGAGCTGTCCGAACCTCCGTGGTCTTCTCTTCCAGAACACCAGCCTCATCAACCAGAAGAAGAAGATGGAAGCGGACGTCTCCCAGCTGCAGACGGAGGTGGAAGAGGCCATCCAGGAGTGCAGGAACGCCGAGGAGAAGGCCAAGAAGGCCATCACCGACGTGAGTGCCGCCCTCGGAGCCGCGCCTAGGACACCTGGCAGCGCGGGTGACGGAGAGCGCCCCTCGGACCTGCTTCTCTCGCCGCTTCTCTCCTCGGGCAGGCGGCCATGATGGCGGAGGAGCTGAAGAAGGAGCAGGACACCAGCGCCCACCTGGAGCGGATGAAGAAGAACATGGAGCAGACCATCAAGGACCTGCAGCTGCGGTTGGACGAGGCCGAGCAGTTGGCCCTCAAGGGGGGTAAGAAGCAGCTGCAGAAGCTGGAGGCCCGCGTGAAGGAGCTGGAGAACGAGCTGGAGGCCGAGCAGAAGCGCAACGCCGAGAGCGTCAAGGGCCTCCGCAAGTCCGAGCGGCGCGTCAAGGAGCTCAGCTACCAGGTGGGGCCACCGCAACCTGGTCCCGCATCACCCAGACCCGTGGTGGGACCTAACCGGAGCGCGGAGCTGGTGGCCACAGGGACGGGGATGACCTAGGACACCACCCGCTGCCCCTGTGTCCGTGGAGCTAGAGCAGGGTTGACCTGGTGGCCGTAGGGGACATGGGTGTCCCAGAACATTGACCTGGTGACCACAAGGATACGGGTGACCCAGAGGTTGACCTGGTGGCCACAGGGCCATGGATGACCCAGAACATTGACCTGGTGGCTCTAGAGGCACAGGTGACCCAGGAGGTTGACCTGGTGGCCACAGGGCCATGGATGACCCAGAACATTGACCTGGTGGCTCTAGAGGCACAGGTGACCCAGGAGGTTGACCTGGTGGGCACAGGGATAGGGATGACCCAAAGGTTGACCTGGTGGCCACAGGGACACTGATGACCCCGGAGGTTGACGTGGTGGCCTCAGGGTCAGGGATGACCAAGAAGGTTGACCTGGTGGCCTCAGAGACATGGGTGTCCCAGAACATTGACCTGGTGGCCACAAGGACATGGCTGACCTAGAGGTTGACCTCTTGGCCATAGGGTTGCAGATGACCCAAAGGCTGACCTGGTGGCCACAGGGTCATGGATGACCCAGAACATTGACCTGGTGGCCACGGGGACGACCAAGGAGGTCCCGCCCCCCCAAGAACCTCGTTGGGGCTCTCCTGCCCCACGGCGTGGGCGGGTCCAGGCCCTGCCCCACACGTCTCTCGCCCCACAGACGGAGGAGGACCGCAAGAACCTGCTGCGGCTCCAGGACCTGGTGGACAAGCTCCAGCTGAAGGTCAAGGCCTACAAGCGCCAGGCCGAGGAGGCGGTGAGCGATTGGGCGACGCCGGATGATGCCGCGGGTGGGGGTGGGGTTGGGCGTGGCCGGGCGGGCGTGTCCCCGCTGAGGCC